AAAAAGAAAAATTAAGAGTGATAAGTAAATAATGCCGAAAATTGCGACCACGAGACATACGTAACCTCTAAAGTCGATGACAAAAACGTGGATACAGTAACAAGCGTATACAGTAACAAGTGTATACATCCACAATAACAAAATCACTTACATAGAAGCTAACGCAAGGACTTTTCGAAGAAACCGTAAAATCAGTCAACAACCTATCCCGAATGCACAAGCAATTTTTGGTAACCCAAGCCATCCAGCTTTCTTTCTTTGTTCCAATCTCTGAGAGCTTCCATGGCTTTCTAGAGAGAGAAAAAAATGTTAAATCCTGATACATCATCTGACTTCTCGACGCCGCAAACGCTGACAACAATAGCTTGCACGGAGCATGGAAGAAGCAACACACCGGCGTGGAATAACTCAGCCAACCTTGTCGGAATGATTAGGAAGGTTGCAGAAGAAATATCCACAAAGTCGTTCGACGGTTCTTTCAACCTAGAAGATCCATCGAGCCAATATGATCAGTTAATTTATCTGCAAACTTCTCTGTGGCAGTTAAAAAAAGTTTCCAGCGAGCATTGAAACCTGTCGCCAATCGCAGAACCAAACTAACAAAGATCAAACATTATACATACACTAATTTAGATATCAAATTCAAATCCAGGATACGTGACGCAAGATGACATGGTCGAGACTGATAACACCGAGGTCACCACTGCGATCCCCCTCCTGCCAATTAGAGAACCTTTCTGGGTTGTCGATCCGGTAAGCTGGTTTCTAAAGGTAAAAAATCAGCTGAAATTAGACAGAATCACAAACGATGACTCAAAGTTAGCGACCTTTTAAGCGATCGCCGGTAACGAACACATGTTAAGAACTCAAACAACAACACATTAAGAGATTTGGAGAGTCTAAAAAATCTTGACAACCTATTCAATAAAATCCAAATAGGAGACAAAAAGTCGTTGCAGCTCTACAGGGAGATGACATGTCTGGCTGACTTAACAATAACAGAAGACCCCTTAATTTGCCGTCTGTAAGATTAGATTCAGCTCAATCATCGACAGCAAAAGAACTTGCCGTTACTGGCTGGATCATATTGGGGCCCAAAAATCTACTCTGTTACGTACTCACCATGGACTCTAGACATTGGATGTTCTATCAATTATAAAATACAGGAAATGATATAAGAATTCATGAACGTAAATAACTATTTAAAGATTGAAATTTTTTGAATCTCATTCTTTGAACTAACTACATAATAATCTTCTGCGAAGATGAAGATGTGAATTGATATGGAAAATTATATAAGATGAAGAAAGAAAGTTTGCTGTTTTTAAATGAAAATCAACTTAACTTTGACGGAGAATGAATTGTTGGGAAGGTGGACTGAGAATTCTGAGTTAAAAAAGAAAGTTAATTGCTAATTAACAATTTGAGCTTTCTACCTCAAGCTGTTACTTTAATCCCATTACTGAATCTGTAATAAAAAATAAAAAATTCTCTTGAATAAACAAAGTTTATCTTCAAATCACCTTCAAGGTCAAATCCAAGATCACCATCGTTTTGCCCTTTTAAAAATTCATGAAACGTACTTTGACAGTTCTATTAAATAATGCATTTCAGGGAGTTATTGAGATGCATTTTTTAAAATGGGACACGATGTATAAAAAACAGAATAATTTCGGGAACAATAATAACGGGAACTGATTACAGGAATTTAATTAATTATATTTGATGCGAGCAAAAATAATGCAATATGAAACTTAACCTAGTAGCGTAACTTTTTCTTTAATATAGTTCTTTTAATCATAAACCCATTATGAGAGGCATACGACGCTACACGGTAATTATAATTCACGAAAACTACTGGTAAATACGCATCAAGGGTCGCGGGAGCGACCTGCGGCATGAATGCCGGAGGAGCGGACTACGCGACACTATTACACAACAGCTTCATAATGGGCCGATTCAATTTATGATTTATACATAAATTATACGATTTATATTCTTGAAATATCATTTAAGAGACTCGTTTTTATATTGTACTTAAGAAAATATTTAATTATATAATTTAACATTCCCGATTTACATCTTATTTCATCGTCATTTCGCGAAATGGCCTAATTTTATTTTCTTCTCCAGTCAAATTTTTGTCCACTGTTGTCCACACATTGGATGTGCTGCGCATGTGTTATTTGACTTACTTATCGGCGTCTCTGTATGAGACCCCCCGCTATCTATTAAACTAAAACTAAATCAATATGTTATACTAATAAGAAACTGCATAGTTCGTGTCTGTTCGTGTCTGAACGCATTACATGATATTGTGGCCTCGTGATAATTCAAGGATTTACTTTCAACAATTGGTGAGTAAATTATCATTACTTATAAATTACATTATTATAATGATAAAAAGTAACTCTATGTAATTATAAAATAAGATAATTATATAAGGAAAGTAAGTGAAGCATGTGCACGAGGGTGATCCGTGCAATTGGTTATGTGAACCCTCATTTTTGACTGACAAAACAATTACCTATAAGATAATGATTTAATGACAACTAAATAACAACTATTAAACTGTAACAATAACAACTAACAGTTTAATGATAGCAACTGCTAACAATTTAATGATAACAATTGTATAATAATATATTAATAATAACTGTAGAATATCAAATCGTATAACATTTTTTTTTAAACATTTTAAAAAAAATTTTTCGAAAAACCAAAAAAAAAATTATTGCAGTATTCTACGTGGAAAAACAAACATTTTTTCTCCTATAAATTTTTTTCGATTGTTACAATTTGATGGAGATAAAAAATGTTGAAAAAAACTGTCACTTCCAGGAAAAAATGCCCGTGCGCGCGTCATATTTGACGAAAATAAATTTTTGATGAGTGATTCAGATAGAGCTTGGTAATAGCTAAAAAATGGTGTACTTCAAATTTTCGTACTATTTTTTTTCCAAAATTGGCTAATTGTCAAAAATAATAAAAAAATTTCAGAATTTTCAATTTTGCATAATTGTTGCAAAATTTAAAAAAACAATCGATGGCAACCGTGAATCATATCATTTGAAATCTCTCCAAAAGACCTTTCAAACGCACCCACGCGCGTCTCTGTACGTTAATTTCTACCAGGGATATAAAACTTTGAAGTTAGACTGATTTTGCCCGTGGGGGGGTAAAAGTGCGTAAGCGGCACTGTACTACTAACAGGAGGATAGCTATATATAATGACTGATATAAATATGGAAGCGCTAAAGATTATATAATGACTGATATAAATAAGGAAGTGCCAAAGTTTAGTACACAAAATAATGAAGAAAAATGTATCTTATGATTATGTATGCTATTCCAATAGTTATTTAAAAATATATAAATGTATAATAATAAAGTTATTAAAATCGAAATATGTATTAGTTTTATGAGTTCCGTTGCAACGATTACCGAAAATCGTTAGACTCGCGCGAGGTTAACGAGCGGCTAAGCGAGAGGAGCCGCGTTCGGTTCGCGAGAGAGAGAGAGCGCGTAGGGGCAATGACCGGGAGGGGAGGCTCCGACCGGCAGTATGACTGTGCCACTCAGTCTGTCAGCGTCGCGCTAACCTCCAATTTTTCGTGAGTTTCTCGTTTTCCTGGTGACTTTGCGAACTTGAGTGCGTGGGTGCAGTAGCAGCAGCAATAGCAGCAGAAGTAGCAGTAACAGCAGCAGGAGAAACAGCAGAAGTAGCAGCGACAGCAGCAACAACAACAGCAGCAACAGCACTCGAGGCGGTGCAGCAAGCAGCGGAGCAGTTTATTAACAGCGTGTTAATCGGATACGGTTGGCCACCGTATCCTCGTCGTTCTTGCGGTAGGTGCACCTTTTCCCCCTTTTCATTTGTTGTTAATTTGCGTGCGAATCCGAGCAGCGAGCGCGAAGAATTTATTTGTTGCGTGCGAGCAGGTAGTTCGCGGTAATCGCGGTTTTCTCTCTCTCTCAATCTGCGTGCCTTGTCATTCACGCGAGCGTGCGTAAGTCTCTCGGCCAGACCCTCGTGTAAATTAGTCGCATGAATAAAGTGCATTTTAATCGTTGTTTTTGAATCAAATAGTCGTTATTGTGTCTTTCCTTTGTCCGGAGGTCGCGTCAGTGTTTATTTACAGTGGATTCGAATTCGCCGGTTGCGTAGCACGAATCGTGCGAATACCGATAGACGCGAATCGACAACTAGGTTCCAGCGGCGGCCGCACGAGGGCTACTAGCAAGGGGCGACAGCGCCGCCAAGCGGTGAGTTGGGGGAACCCAACTTGGAATCGTAAGGAGACTCTGCGCAGGCGCACTCCGAGGCAAGGTAGGTTACTGTGCTTCGAGCACAGAGATAACAAGGCTTCGTCTAGTCGTAATACGGGCACTCCCAAGAGATTATCGACTAAATGGCAGCCTGTTATACCGTACAGTTGTCAATAAAATATATTTGTATTTTATTATAAATGGCTTAGTTTTTTTTACTGTAGTTTGAAATATGTAAGTTTTAGTTTATTTTTCATAATTAGAGTTCTCTTAAAAATCATATAATCGACCGGCGCAGGCATAGCTGCGCAGTGGCTTAAATCATGATCCGCGCCAGTTCTTGTTTGGAAGTGCCAGATGTCAGAATCATTCTATAAGTGCTTGTTGCTTCTAGCCTTAATTATTAATTTTAAAGAGTTGTACAAATAAAATTTTTATATCGTCCTCGTTTATTACTGGTCGCGGGTTCCGTGAACGTGATTAATTATACTGGTGGATGTGAATAATTCTACTCATTTGGTAATTTAATTGGTAAGTAACAAAACTTATGAGGTCAAACTATTTGTTATGATTATAATTTCTCTCTCTCTCTCTCTCTCTCTCTCTCTGCAATAAATAGTTGATTAATACTTCTAATTATAAAAAATGTTAAAAGTTATATGTTACATTAGACACTGGATTTTATTACTTTGATCATATAGATAAGAATAAAAATAAAACATAAATTTCAGGCACTGTCGCCACATTTTTACTGATGGAGGATTTTAAGGTGTAGAAATCATCCTGATAGATAAAAAGAAATTCAAACATTTACAATAGACATAACTTGGTAAGTTATATTCAACAAATTTCTTATTTTATGAGCGATAGCTTCTATTATAATTTTAATTTCATAGTACAATTTCAATAAAATTGTAGCACAATAAACCAAATGAATGCTTTTAATTAAAGAATTAATATTTTATTACAAAACAATTTATCCAAACTTCAGACGTCTCAAGATTTATACTTACCATAAAGTATAATTTAGTTTACTTTACTTTTAGAGAATTTCGTTGGCTATCACCCTAGATTGACATATTTATTGAAAATAATAAATGACATTAATTTTCTAAACCTAAACCAATGTGTTTTTACTAATAATGACATTCTGATTATAATACTACATTTCTTTTTCTTGAATTCTCAACATTACTTTTCAGTCTCATTTATATTAATTTCTTAGTAATTTTTTTTATTTATACAAAACAGTTTGGGATTTTTTTTTTTGCTATATTCATTAAAAGTAAGAGATCATACCCATGTTTTAAGGTTATCGGTGCAAAATTGTATGATTTTCTTTTATTTACACAAAACAGTTTGGGATTTTTTTTTGCTATATTCATTAAAAGTAAGAGATCATACCCATGTTCTAAAGTTATCGGTGCAAAATTGTATGTTTTTCTTTTCTTAATATGTTTTAAAAATTTGTGAAGAAAAACAGTATAAAATAATTCTTTTCAATTGACGTGCGCTAATTTTACATATACCTTACTCATTTATTTAAATGATTCCTTGATATTCTTTGCATTTCATTCAATAAATACATATTTCAACATGACCACAAGTTTATTTCTATAACTTGAAGATTTTTTGTTATTTTGAAGAGTGCATAAAGCAAATTTTTTTCTTTTCAATGATTTTACAAATGCCATTTTTTTACTATATTCATTAAATATAAACATCATACACATGTTTTAAAAAGTTATCGGTGCTAAATTGTCTATTGCTCACATTCTGATTATTTTATGGACTACATTTTTTCATCTCATTTCTTTTTTAAAACAATTTTCAACATTACTTTTCATTATTATTTATACAAATTTTTGTTAATACTAGTCTTTTTATAGAATAAAAAAATTGAATAATACATTTTTCTTATTTTAAAAATTTATCAATAATGGAAGTTTCACTCACATTTTTCATTTTAATAATAAATGACATAATGACATTCTGATTATAGTACTACATTTCTTTCTCTTGAATTATTCTCAACAACATTACTTTCCAGTCTCATTTATATAAATTTCTTAATAATTATTTACACAAAACAGTTTTGGATTTGTTTTGGCTATATTCATTAAAAGTAAAAAATCATGCCCATGTTCTAAAGTTATCGGTGCAACATTGTATGCTTATTGCTCACAACATTCTGCTTGTGGTACTACAATTCTTAATCTCATTCTTTCTTGAAACATTCTTAATATATTCTATAACGGCCGGGGCCGTTTTCGCGGAGGATTGTCCGCGCGCGAGTCTGAGCGCGGCCAAGCGGGCAAGCGAGCGAGGAGCGGAGAGAGAGAGACAGAGCGAGACTAGAGCAGGCGCGTGCCGTAGCAGGAGAGTGGGGGGAGAAAAACGATTTGGGACACTTCGATTGAGACCGGCGAGGGGGAGTGATCGCCACGTGCGCGCGCGAACGAGAGAAAATCGGGAGAAAAAGAAAAGTGCGAGTGTGCGAGAAAAGAAGGACTATCCTCAAAGGTCGCCGTTAGTTGTGGACAGTCGCCTAGAGTGGGCGATCACCAGGGGCAGAACTTGCCCGCCCGAGCAAGGGCGATAACGCGAGCGACGAATAGAGAGTAGTCTGTCTGCAGCAGCTACTTCCCGGTGAGTTCCTCTCCGTTTATAAGTGATGAATTAGCGTGCGTTTAGTGCCGCGAGCGAGCGTCTCTCTCTCTCTTTAGATTGTTATGCGAAGCGAAACCTCGGCGTGCGGTACTGTACAGGAAGTTCATATAAATAAATAAAGCCTGGTTTAACCCGTTTATGTGTTGACGTTGTGTTGGGTGTACCTAGGGAGGCACCTCTGTCCCTTCCCACGCCCGTGATTAGAGCTCACGCATGCTTAGCCGTGCTTTCGCGATCCTTTTTCAGGGCAGCGCGTGTCCGCCCATATTCGGCGGAACGCCAGGAAGCGGCTAGCTGATCGGGGCGGCGGTAAGCCCCGCACCGACCAGTTAAATTAAAATCTTTAACGGGCTGCGAAATCAATCCACGCGAGCCAGAAAAGAGTGATGCTGGAGCCGAAAGCCGCCCTGTTTCCGGAATGGACTTACACCCCACCGGGGGCGGGGGCAAGAAAGGCAAAAGTGTCAGCGCTGAGTGCCGAACAGCCCGAGGAAGAAGAGGAGCCGGCTGAGGCAGAGATCGCGGCGGTCGCTCTGAAGGGAACACCGAGCCAGTGGATGGAGAAGCTGGAAAAATCCATAATGGATAAGCTCAGCGAAAAGCTCGCCCAGATTCCTTCCGTGACAAGAGCACCTCCCAAGCCGCAGGCCCAGGGCGAGACGGCACCCAGGCCAAGAGGTCAGCGAAGGGCCATAGACTATTCGAAACCGTTGAGCTGCTCCAAGTGCGGCAGGCTCGGTTTCAGCGTTAAGTATTGTCCAAACTGCAACCCGCCAGTGCCGGCGGGAAACGGGACGGGAAGCGGTTAGAAGGGATCACTACCGTTCCCCCCAAACCCCAGATCCCACAGGCAGGGCAAACTCCGGGCGATAAGGATGCCCCCGATGCCGGTCACCAAAATAAACCCGCAAACGGCGAGCAACGACGGCTCGCTGAAGCCAGTGAGCGCCCAGCCGACACAAGGGCGAGGAAGCGGTGACGACGGTAACATCGGCTGTGGGACCACGGCAAGTAGCGAAGATTTAGCTACAACACAGGAAACGAGAGTCAGCGGACCCAGCAGCGCCGACTTAGTCCTCACAGATGAGAGCGACGGACATTCTTTCCACAGCAATGGCAAGGTAACGGCCTCGGCACTAGAAAACCCGGAGATCTCAGGATCCCGCGCATCTACGCAAGCCCAGACGGAGCAGGCAGCGAGCGAGGGGCTCACTGCAGCTAATGGAGCTTGTGATTTGGGCGGCGAGTCTTCGGCGACTGCCGCGGTCGCAAAGGAACGCCATACGGTAAGCCGTGAAAAAGAATACGCGCCGAGGACGAGTCAAGGTGGTGGCTCACCGTGCAGGTCGGGACTTTCCGGATTCGTGCCCTATACGATTCAGGAGCCTCCTGCACGTCGATGGGAGCGTTAGGTCTGCTGATTGCCGCTGAACTCGGACTTAAATTGAAAGTAGCCAAGGCTGGGTCGTGCAAGTTGCCGGACGGCCGGTCAGTGCCCGTGATAGGCCATCTAGAGATGCCTTTCACAACCGGAGGCGTGACCAAAGATGTCCGCGTCTCTATCATCCCAGAGCTCGCAGATCAATGTTATGTGGGGGTCAACTTCATGAAAAAGTTCAAGGCAGTGACTGACCACACTGATAATACCATTTTTCTGCGAGACGATAACGTGACGGTGCCAATGGAGATAGCTGGTTTAAAGGGAGCCGCCGAAATGGCCTCGATCGGTATCGCTGACACGACAGAAGAGCAGCGTGCGGAGGTAGAAAGTTTGGTGAAAAGTATGCTGCCACCGCCCAGCAAACTTCTAGGGGCGGCGAATGACGTCGAGCATGACATCAAGCTCACGTCCACCAGACCGATCAAGCAGAGATATTACCCGGTCTCACCCAAGATCGAGCAGGAGATGCACAAGCAGGTCGCAAAGTTGCTTGAGGCCGGCGTAATAGAAAGATCCAAAAGCGGTTGGTCAAGTCCCATCGTGATGGTACCGCGAGGCAATAAAGGAGAATACCGGATGTGCATCGACTTCCGCGAGGTGAACGCGATTACAGAGCCAGATGCTTACCCAATTCCCTTTATGTAGGATATACTGAGGCGGCTGCGCAACGCCAGGTATATATCAACGGTGGATTTGAGCCTCGCCTACCATCAGATCCCGTTAAAAAAGGAATGTCGCCCATATACAGCCTTCACCGTACCGGGCTTGGGGCATTTTCAATACATGAGAATGCCCTTCGGCCTTGCGTATGCGGGGGCGACATTCCAACGCCTGATAGACAGCGTCATCGGCCCAGACATGGACCCTTTTGCGTTCGCGTACTTAGACGACATCATCATCGTCTCTTCGTCATTTGAGGAGCACAAGCTCCACTTGGCGAAAGTTCTGAACCGCTTGACAGAGGCAGGGCTCACAGTGAGCCCGGACAAGAGCGTGTTTTCCAGGTCGGAGGTCCGATACCTCGGACTACTCGTCAATCGCGACGGAATCAGGCCGGATCCAGAAAAAGTCCGGCCGATTGCAGAATACCCGAGGCCCAGCAATGTTCGGAAGCTAAGACGCTTCATGGGCATGGCCTCGTGGTACCGGCGATTAATCGAAGACTTTGCCACGATCTCTGAGCCCCTCGTCAAGCTAACCAGAAAGGCCGAACCATTCGTGTGGGGAACCGCACAGCAAGAGGCGTTCGAGACCATCAAGAACTTGATGATGACAGCCCCAATCCTACAGCCACCAGACCTCGAGGGAGACTACGCGCTACACACGGACGCCAGCGACTCAGGACTCGGAGTTGTCCTGGTCCAGTCGGTTGGCGGTGAAGAGCGCGTAATTGAATTCGCGAGCCGCACCTTGTCGAAAGGAGAACGCAACTATTCGGTCTCGGAGCGTGAATGCCTAGCAGTGCTGTACGGAATTGAAAAATTCCGACACTACATAGAGGGCTACAAGTTCAAAGTGGTAACGGACCACAGCTCTCTGCGCTGGCTAAGACGCATGAGAAACCCGACGAACCGTCTAGCGAGGTGGGCTCTACGACTTCAAGGATATCAATTCGAGGTCGAGCACCGTAAAGGAGCCCTGCACGCAGTCCCCGACGCACTGTCACGCGCGTTCGAGGAGGACGACGAAGATGGGCCCACGATAAGTGCTCTCACGTG